GTGCTCGTCTAGTATTGAAAATATCAATGTTAGAAAATTTATAATTCATGAGACAAAGAAAAAATCTAGTGCGTATGTGTCACGCAAGTTTTTCTATAAGAAATAATATCGCACAGGTATATAACGTGTATCGTACTTTGCAATTAAAATCAAAATATATTTATTCTGTATTAGGTCAATGCTCAAGATCAAAACATAAAAAGATCTCGTCTGAAACTCGTCATTTGATTTTAAATGGTTCAACAATTATTAACGATATTGTTGAAGATAATAATCGAATTAAATCAATCAGGTACCAATGATTTTATTATTTTAACATAAATATTTTAATAATTTAATGGAATAATAAATAATTGTCCACCAATCAAAATGTGTGTTACAGAATCATTAATAGATTCTTGTCAATGTCCAGTTTATGCAACACCTTCATCTCGTCTTGATTCACCATTATTCTATTTATTAATAAATGAACAAATTGATCCAATGACTTATTTTGTTTTTCAAAATGGTATTTGTTTTTTTTTTTTATTTCAATTTAAAAGAAAATTAAATTCGTTTTTAATGCATCTAGATAATGAAGAAATAGGAAGAATACCATTTCCAACTGTTATTCGTCAAGAACTAGAAAAAATGTCCGTAATTACCAATGAAAATAGTCCTCCAAGGGAAATATCTCCGACATCGCAATTATTTCAATCAACTACAAGAACAAATACTCCGTCAGTCAAAGATATTCACAGAGATGAACCAATATTAGGCTTTTAAGCATTTATAAGAAATAAAAAGGATATTATCGATAATTTATCGTTTTGTTCAAAAGAAACATTTCGTCAACATTTCTTTTTTGTTTTTCTAATAAGAATTCTAATAAAATAATTTTGTTTATATTAAAATTGAATTACTATTTATGTTATTGATTTCATTTTCTGTATTTAATATTTTACAAAAAGATTATTTTACATATATAATCAAACAAGAACTATAGGAAAAGAGAGACTTTGTTTATGTTAAAAAGCTGATTGAATATCACAATAAACATTGAATGGATTGACGTTTTTTTGTTTGTAAACGAAAACTAATGAGAAAAGGTTGTCTACACTTTGTTTTCAATATATCGCTATTACCCTACTTTTATTTTTTACATTTTCTACCAAACACACTTTGTCTAATTAAAGAGAAAAATAATTTCTAAAACTATAATTTTCAAATAGGAAAACGAAATTATGTACGTATAAAATTGATATACAAAATTGATGTTTGTTAGAATCTTTTCTTTTTTTCTAATTACAGAATTCAGCATAATTTTCGATTTACAATCATGATCAGAAATTCTTAATTGATATAACACAGAGAATGACATAATAAATAAAATAACAACTAAATAGAATCAGTCGTTTAATACACCGCTGTTACAGTGGGCAATACTTTTTTTTTAAAATGGTGATAGCGACTGTGACTGAAATATAAACATATACAGTGACGCATCTACTAAAATAGTTTATATCTTGCATCTATGTTGACTTGTGCGTGTGTTTCTAAGAAATAAATGATTTTATATTGTTAGTTATGTGGCATAGTTTATTCATTGTTTTCTCAATTGAAAGTAGCTAGACATTAAGATTACAGAGAAAATTAGAAACCAAGAAGATTAAAATTCAGAGTGAATGTCAAGTGAATTTTTTTATTACTTTGAAGTCTAATACTTTCTATAACATCATCATCACAACAAGCATGTGGCATCATAAAATTAGAGATATGCCTGAAAAAATGTAGGTGCTCAAATGAAATTCTATCACTATTTGCAATATTGAACTGGTATTCTGTGTGATGTGTGCGATAAGGAATCCTGATTATGCGCACCAATCCATGTTACATGGGTTCACTTCTAGTGGAATTATTATTCGTAGATGTTATTTATCGCCTTGAAAACATAGTGAAGAAAATAACGCTCGAAAAAACTTCTGTTTTCATTTTTCAAAATTTCCGTTAATAGATAATCTTTACTATGTGGGTTTTATTATCTCGATAGAGAAGTCTGCAAAATTGAAATATAATTAAAATGAAAGTTTTGCACATTTTAAAATTGATTTTAATAAAAGACATCAGTAAAATTAATGAAATTTAATAATTTCATGATTGTAATTAATTTATAGATAAAATGTATAGATGATGTGAATCGATTAAAACTCGATTATCTTGTGCTTTTCTTCTACATGGTACATATAAGTAAATTATTCTTAAAAATAGATGACAAAGCTTGAGAGATAATCATCACGACATGAACACTAGATTTTGATATCGATCAATATTCTTTCATATATTGCTTTAATGACGAAAAGCCTGAATCTACAATTACCTTCACTCTTTGATCCCAAACACACTACGCGAATTAAAACTGAATTGCGTTTTAACTTCTCTAATGTGACCATAGCCTTTGTTTGTAAAAAGAATATTTTTCTGAAACTTGCGTGACTGATATATATATATATATGGGTAATTCGGTAGATGGCACTGTTATGCCAATGAATCACGGAAACCTATTGGCTGTATCCTTCTATCATCAATTTGCCATTATGTTTCTCGGTTTACTAGGAATAATGGCATATGCGTTTATTCTCTTCGTATATGTACTTATTATAGATACCACTGTACAGATACTTTTATTTGCTTCCGTCAGTAGTCCTCCATGTACAATATTAATTGAAGTAATCAGTCCATGTTTTCTAATCAGAAGATAAATTAGCGTGTACAAATGAATTTTTCACTTCACGCATTTATACTCTCATCCCTTTTTCTTTTTTATTGTTCTTCATTTCCTTTCTTCTTTTCTTCTCTTTCATTTTGTTCATCGTTTTCTTCTCACGTTATAGAAAACTGAGTAATATCTTGTCTATATTCAGCCAAAATTGCTACATGTGCGTTTTAGAGCAGTATACACTCTAACCTTAAAATTTCATTTTATAACTATCTAAACACTTCCGAGCGTAACCATAGACAGTAAAATCCAAAACCAAGCCAACAAAAGAGTTTTTCATTTCGTATAGTGGATAGAAAAACCACGTATACTTGTCATTACAAACATCACTATTATCAAATAGTGTCATTCGTCTATAAAGATGCCATTTTCGTTTCTATATCTTTATTTGTTTAATTAATTGTTTTTAGATAATATTTATTATACCTTTGATTGGTCTTATTTTGTTGTCGCTCAACTAAAGCTACTACAAGTCAATTCATTTTCTGTTACTCAGCGAACATATTAATAACCTTTGAGTTCTCTTCGTTTTATTTTCATATTATCCTAAAAATGACTTACGTTCGAATATATGATAGTAAGAAAAAGCATGATACTTGCCTGTTTCTTAAACAAGATAATATTATTCGAAAAGATTATTTTATTGGGACATTTCCTGGTGCCACGGGAATATTATATAAAGACGAACAATTGAATGCATATGTTTCGTATGTTATTAGTAAATCAAGAGAAAATCTTTAGAAATATGTTTTCTATTTTTTAGAATACCAAGAGATAGTGATGGAAACTTTCAATTTGAATGGGATCAAAATGTTGTTTATCAGTTGATCTATGTTGATGGTATGAAAATTTAAGAAAAATAATCTTATGACATTATACGTATCGTTAGTCCCTTAGATTATAGAAATCGTTCCTCATCCTCATCATCATCATCGTCGAATAGATGGGAATTGCCGTATTGGCTCAAGGTGGTCGGAGGTAAGTTTTACTTTTTTTATTTTGTTCATTACAAGAAGATTGAAATTTTTGTTGTGTTAATTAATCTCAATTTCTGTTTTTTTTTAAATATTAGGTTTGTTCAAATCTCCAAATTCGAATAGTCATTATAAAAAAACAATATAATTATTTGTTTTAATAGTAAGAGATGAAGGTCTTCAGCTATTTGCCACTTTCCTTTTCATAATACCTATTGAATGTAACAGCACGCATAATGCTTTTATTGTGCCTAACCGATGCTTGGTATTAGAGTGCTTATTGTCAATTATCTGTCCTATAGCAGTCTGAGCAAAAAAATATAAACATGATCCTCTGTAGTTTGTGTTTTATATCTTATTTTCTGCAACATTATCTAACATAAGCATAGCCTTATTAAAATTGTTGTATTCTAGGTATTTTTGTAATGTGGATCGGTTCCATCATTGCATCTCTTTGGTCGAACATTTACGAAGAGACTGTTAAATTTCATACTCATCCATCAATATAACAGTTAATAAATCATATTTAATTGAAAGAAGTATAGCTTTGTCGGTTATTTCGACACTCTACGTGGTATTAATTATACTTGCTACACTTGTATTAATGAATTCGATATGGAACAAAGTAACAAATTATATTCGAAATATTGAAGTAGAGACGTTGACATATAATGCATTAAACTTCTCTCCGCTTGTTCTTTCTTAAATTTGTTCACAGCACAGCGTGGAGAATTATGATTGATGCTTTGAAGATGTTTTTCTTGTTGAATCTTCCTTTCTCTGTCTCTTTTTCCTCTAGACAAAAGTTAGCTATTGTTATTGATTTACTTATGGTGTTCTTGAATTAAATAAATGGAAACTAAGAAAAAGGTTTTGGAACCTAGCAAGTTTCTTTGTTGCAAACATATAATTATATGGCTTGCATAAATAAATATCGATAACTAACGAATCATACAGCGCTGACTAAAAGTATCTCATCTCCTTGAGCTGTCATCCTTTTAAGAGATAGAGAACTATAATTCTATACGTATGTATTCTACTCCATTATGAACGCCGATTCTGAGTGATTTCATATGCCGCGCGATTACAAATATTACGATGGACTTATAATAGGTCGCAATCATGCTTTTTATGAGTCTCATAATTCAGAAAACGAAAGACGTTTTAAGTGACTCGACTCTACAATATAAATGCATAACAGCTGTTGAATGAATTGATGTTATTTAACTGTAGACGAAAAATGCAATGAAGATTTTCAGCATTGTTTATTTCTTTGATACTGTCTATTATTGTTTTATAATTAAAAGCACTTGTTTTCATCAATATTAATAAGATTTTTTAAAAAGTATGATTTTCTATCTTGTTTTATTTTGGTTTTGTCTAAAAATTTTGTTTTTCTTAATTTACTATTTCTAATTTTGTTATTTTTGTCTTCTAAATATTCTTGTTGAGTACTGTTTTCCACTTTTATACAATATATCGCTATTATCCTACTTTCATTTTTTACATTTTCTATCAAACACACTTTGTCTAATTAAAGAGAAAAACAATTTCTAAAACTATAATTTTCAAATAGGAAAACGAAATTATGTACGTATAAAATTGATATACAAAATTGATGTTTGTTAGAATCTTTTCTTTTTTTCTAA